CTCATTTACTCTGACGATGGCTTCTCGTGTGGAGCCGAAAGCTCAGAAAAAACTATCATTCCAGAGACCGCTTCTTCGTCTTCTTTACAGAAATATCATACTTTCATAATATATTCTGATGTCCCTACAGCAGGTCTTACGTAAATCTAGTTTAAATGAATTCCTTTCATTACGTTACGTTACTAGGATCCATTTGAATATGGTCCTTGATAACTCTGATCATTGTGACTATAATAGGCGATACAGGAGTCTTTTGCTTTCAAAAACGAATAAATCTAGAACGCGTCAGTTTACTTTTGCCACAGTGAATGCCAATAATAATGGCTACCTATAGGTTTCTACTTTATGTGCTCGTATACGCCTAGTATTTCTAAAAATATGCTAGATGGTATTCAGAATAGAGCGGAACGCATTAAAGGTTTTCTAATATTATTTAACAGTCCTCGATGAACAAAAACAATGCTTGCTACATCGCGCACTATTTCGTTTTAGACAACAAAATAAGAGGCTGGAAATTCGAAAATGCCCGGACAGACTAATTTTATACCCAGACGATATGGAGGCCATTCAAATCTCGACGCCACCAACGGAGGAGTTGCGGGTAAAAATTTTCCTTAAGTGTTATTGAACCATCTTTTTTTCATTTACTTGCAAAACAAAGTCTACCGTCGCAATTGCCATTTCTTTGTGGTAGCTTGCATGAACCATGTTTCATTAGAGAGGAATTATGTCTAAGAAGAAAAATTCAGAGACGCATGCCTACAAAAATTGCCGGCCTAAGAAACGCTAACTTTTACGGCAGAACATAAGCATAAAGGTGATCGTGGCGCAAACCAATCTTTTTATTGACGATAAAAGAATTAAGAACAGCATTTGTGGAGTTGAACACAAAGCTGACAAGTTAGTTAATCTTAAGATGTCAACAAAACTCGCTTTGACTAGCAGTGTCATCCAAGATCCAAACCATGTGTTAGGTAATGCCATCTTTCGGGATGATGAATTTACTTCTTCCTTCCTATATTTCATCTTTGTACAGAAGCAGAGTTTATACAACAGTTACTATCAATGATTTATTAGCTTCGGTCGGAGAGCGGCAATTACCCGAAATCGAAAATGCATTTGAAAATTTTAAAAAATGAAGAACAGCATTTGTGGATTTGAAGACAAAGCTGACTACTCAATGAATTTTAAGATGTCATCAAAACTTTTAAAATCACTTATGTTAACAGGGACAGTCTTCCCTATTTGACTAGCAGTTTTGTCCGAAATCGAAACCATCTGTTATGTAATATTATCTTGCTAATTGGTCAGCCTACTTCTTCCCTGACTTAAAGCTTTGACTGCAATTTTGTTCTCCTACGCACTCAGGAGGACAAGCCAAATGCCTCCTATGGTTTAAACGTTGAACGTGCAATCACCGAGGCACTGTCTGAGAGCATGCCAGTGCGCCCTGGGGAAAATGAAGCATTTAGCACAGTTCTCCTCTACAAGGTAAGCTGGCAACATCAGTGAGTAAAATGGGTAGATTTAAAATTAGTAACATGTTTGGCATCATTAGGAGACAATTAACATCGCTCTCGCGCGCATTCCTACTGACTTATTTTGATTATTATGTATCTTCGTTAAATTAGTTTTCGTAAAAGTAGTTTGTGTAGTGTACCTTGGATATTTGAAACCCCAGTCTTCTGTTTTACGTGACTGTTGGAATTGGAGGTTTCATGGGTGGGGAAAACGGATAGAGGAGAAAGGGACTTCGTATAAATAAGTACAAAATGTCGTAATTTTTTGTTGAAATAGTTTAAAGCAGCGGCTACCTGTCGAGGGCGTTGAGGGCGTTGGACGCGTAAATCGAAAAAGGTCGCGAAAAAAAATCGAGCTCAAATCTGGGTCGACAAACCTGGAAATTTCAACTTTTATTTTTCAGCCCAATATCCAATAGTAATGGATTTTTGAAGACTTTTTGTAATATAAAAATTGTATTATGAATGATAAAAGAATCTGGTAAAATATCACTGCACAAATGTATATATGTTTAATATTAGTATTCTAAAATTCCTGTGACGAGCTGCTTTAAACAACCGGTTGTGTTTTGGCTGGTCTGCTTGAGGGCTAAATTGAAGCAACCCGTTTATATCTTCTAACTCCTTGAGCTAAGATATGTGTATGTATCATTGTGGGGTGTTCGCAGACCTTAGACGAGGTCACTGAGGTACATTTATTTAATATCATCACTAACTCCTACTGGACCAACAGCGGTCGCATAGAAGTTGGAGGTTGTTCGCTGACCTTGGATGAGGGAACTGAGGTTCATTTTTTAAAATATTATCACTATCGCGTTGAGAAAGCAGGAATCTATCTGGCTAAAATGAATAGGCATAAATACATCTACTGAAACGAATATAGTAGTTCTTTTAGTATTCCTTTTAAAAGGCAACTAATCATCCTGCGATTACCTTATTTTTTTCTGATTAAAACTATTATGCCTGTAGAATTTAAGGATTGGACTTAGCTTTGATGGACATTTTAACCGATTTTAAGAACTTGGATTGGAGTTAATCTGTAATACATATGCAATAAAATGGTAAATATTCGCTTAATATTTCCCTTTTAGGGCAGTATAGTTCACCTAAAGCGAATTGATATAACGGAGGCAGCACTGAAATCGAAGAACGTGGATCATTTGCGCGCTCTCCGTGAACTCCAATATGAAAACATAAACCCGTTTATTGGAGTTTATTTGGACACCGAATCCGTTTATCTGGTGTATGAACACTGCAGCAGAGGAAGTCTGCAGGTTGGTTTTGATCGGTAGGGTATGAGGTTTCCATGGTATTCGGCCTCAACACATTACATGAGCAGCATCAAGGTTTGAAAAATGAATAAACAGGTG